AAAAAAAAAAAAAAAAAAAAAAAAAGAATCACGTTGAAAGAAGAAAGCAAGCATCCTGTTGCACGCTACGTAACCTGTGCACATGAGCTCCAGCCACCACTCTAACCGCCAGTCTCCATACTTCCTAGGCATCATTTTGCCGGTGGTCATCGTCCTGATTGTCATAACACTCTCAGTGTTTGTACTGGTGGGTTTGTATCGAATGTGCTGGAAGAATGACCCAGGTAGGTGACAGTACTTTATTTTGCTTTGTTTTCCTAACGGAGAATGACTATTTGCTCAGTCTGAACTTGCACTTCCACACTTCAGGGGAGAGAGTGGCTATAGAGAGAGAAATAAAGTGCCATATCAATAGCTCGATTACAAAAGATAGGAGAAGGCAGAGAAACCCAGAGAATGCTGGTGAATGCAACTACTATTGGTAGATATTAAGTATGAGAGAAATCTTATTAAGGGTACAGCCCCTTTCTGAGGTGGGTTGAGGGAGTATGGTAGACAAGAGGGAATCGCATGGCATGCCTGGTCTGTTGGGAGGGTTTTATTCCATTTCCACATAACAGCACAGAGGGGGGCTTACTAATAACTCGGCTTAGGAACCAGCGTCTCAGAGCCGCTCTGTGCCTCAACTTCCCTCCATGAAGACTCAGCTCTCTTCCAATGAAGGCATATTCCATGATTCAGTTTTATTTTTTCTCTAAGTAAACTTTCTATTTAAAACGGACTCTTTAGATTTAGAGTGCTCTTTAGATTTAGAATAGATCTAAAGTATGGGTAACTTGCAGAGACAAGGTGTGCCTTTATCTACTATACCTAGCTCCCCTTCCTCTTATCTTATGTTACTATAGTGTATTTGACACACTTGATGAGCCAGTATCTCCACATTTTTATCAGCTAAACTCCCTACTGCACCCCTGTTGTCTCTTTCTGTCTTTACTCCATTGTTTTTTCAGCTTCCCCTGGGCTCCATTGTGCTTAGGGCTTTGCCTCGATCCCCTCAGCCCTGCAGCTCTGACCCTGGCTGCTCTGCCACAGAAGGGGATCCATGCTCCCTGGGCTCCAGGGGTCCTTCCCAAGCCAGACCTGCCCTGATGGTACCGTGTCAGGCTGTGCTCCAAGCCTGCATCCACAGGATCCCTTTCCTGGAATGTCCAGCCCACCTTTCAGCCTACCCCCACCTTGCCTACCTGTTCCAGCCCATCTACCAGTTTACAGCACCTTTTAGTTTTCTTATTCATTAAGGTTATTGGTACACTTTAGGTATACAATATGATGACATTCACCATTGGGAATTTGTACCTTTACACGATGTATCTTAGTTCTCATTTTTGCCCCCTTCCCCTGCTCTCACATCTGTGTAAATACTGAATAGTTTCTCTGGTGTGCAAAATGGAAAGTGTAAACAAGGCTCAAAATGTGTAATAGATAATGTGAAACAGGAAGAAAATGGAAACAAAGTCTTTGTAAACAGACAGGGGTGGAGGGGTTGAAGGGAGAGCACAGGAGCTTTTTATGACATACCACATCTTCAAGCAGAAGGGATGGTCCCTTCAATTTTAATCCTAAAATATCTGATTATGGTTCAGGCTTATAATCTCAGCCCCCTGGGAGGTTGAGGCAGGAGGATGGAAAGTTTAAGCCCCTCCTACATGACTTAATGACTTATCAAGTCCCTGATTTTTAGTGAACTGGAGATTCAACCCAATAGTAAGACCCTGGATTCAATCCTTGGTACTGAAGAAAAAAAAAAGATGATATAATTCACATAATATTATAGAATAGTTCGTGCTTTATGTAGAGCTCCCTTACAAGCGCTCCCAGTCTGAATCCACATGTTACAACACTGCACTGTGCCTAACACAGACCGGGGCCCTGCTGTATGCTTGGGTACCAGTGTAATAGGGTCTTCCCTTTCCCCACTCTGATTCTAAATATTTCACTAGGCAAAGCCAACCTAAATCTCATAAAGGTAAGAGCACGCTTATTTTAATCAGGCACCTCATCTCTCTCCACTTTGCTTACTTGTGGACCATGGACCCCCAGGACATGAACAACCTCCTTTGAGCCAGCAGGGCAGGGTCTCCCAGAGCCTGAGCACCTGATTGCAACCATGCAGAAGAGGCCAGGGACCAAGCAGCAGGGCTCATTTAGCTCCAGGGAGAAAATAGGAAAACAAATAACAGTCTTTTCCTATAGGAGGGAAAGAGTACACTTCTTAATAATGTCTCAAATGTATTTTCTTACCCAGTTTCCAAAGAGAAGATAGCATTTTTATAAATCACATTAATTTTTGTCAAATTTTAAGCCAATGGGAAATCAGCCATCCAAGTTGGAACTGTGGGTGTTGAGTATATAGGATAAGTAAGAAATTAATATGCTAAATCCATTTGTAAAGAGACACTGTGTTGAAAAATTGCTTTGCAAAAGGAAATTTGAGAATGTGTTCCTTGAAAAGCTGACATTTGCTATTAAAGAGGACTCTACAGGTATATACAACTCCCACTATTATAGAGAACCATTCTTAAGACATACAGAGCTTTAAGGCTAAGTTCTGAAATTATATAATTATCCAAATCTATTTGGTTAGTGTTTTCCAAACTGAATTTTATAACATTAAATCAGCATCTGTGGTTAATCATTCTTCAAGCATGTGGGTGAAGCTCCACTAAGTTCAGAAAATATGTAAACCCACTCTGCTCTCAAGAAGGTAACATGACTCAGAGACTTCAGTCTGAAATTAAATTTATGTGGATAACAGAGATGGTCAGAAAAAATATGTTCAAAGGAAAAACATGGAAACAATACCTTTATAAATAGGGAAGTGTGGAGGGTCTGAAAAGGGGGCTGGGGAGCAGGGAAAACTAAGAACTAAGATGAATCGTGTAAAAGGACAAGCTCCCAATGATGAGTGTAACTGTATTGTACACCTAAAATGTACCAATAAGCTTAATAAAGATAAAAATATATGCAATTAGAAATAATACCATTCACATTCACCCCTCACCACAAATAGTTATTTGTGTGCCAAGACAAAGCAATATATAAAGGGAAACAGAATTCATTTGGGAGAATAAGAAAACTAAAATGGCTGTAGGAAGACCTTAGTTTCAGCAGAGAGAGGTGAGCCAGTTTTCTGGTGCCCAAGTTCCTTGCAATTTTCATAACCACCATCTCCTCTCCTAGGCACGCCGGAAAATGGAAGTGACCAGTAAGTAAGGCATTTCTTTTTTTCCTAGACACTCTGACCTTACTGTTTACGTAGAGAAAATGTTCATTTCTGGTTAATACTTATCCTTTGTGTTGTTTTTTAAAGCAAGAAAGGACAGGGGAGGAAAGAAAGAAAAAAAGAAAAGAAAAAAGGAAGTAAGAAAAAGGTATAAAAGGCTATATGTCAGGGGTTTGGCTGTTTCTAAGAGCTCTCACTATTTAACAGAGAAATCCCAATAGCTAAGAAGACTGCTCTTAAGTGGGGATAAAGTAGTAAGATGAGGAGGAGAATGGTAATGGAATATAAACTGACTAAGAAAGAAACTACCATAGAACACATGCCCAGAGTTTTAAAATATTCTTTTCCTAGTGACATTGGCAGCATGTTCACCACAGTTCGGAAAAGTCCTGCCTGTCCCTGAACTGGCTCTGAGGGTCTCTACCTGAATGTCAGATTTTTTCTACTTGGACTTTACAAAAGCAGACAAGGAACCATGAGCAATCCTGGCAGCTATTACCACGAGGTGCCATGAAGAACCACAATCACTGTTTTCATGTCAGAAACAAGTACTGTGGTTAAATTCTTTACCGGCCTGCATTTGTGGTCTGCATCTATATAAGTGGTTTTGTATCTTATCAGATTGTAAATATTAGAAATTATGACCTTCAAGCACCTACTACTCCAAATTAGAAATGAAACCCCTTGAGATGTCCCCGGGAGAGCATGAGGGCTAGAAACTGACTGGGCATGGGAACAGCAAGGTGGAGACTCTGCAGTGTCCAGGACAAGCGTCCAGGAACAGCCCCAGGGCCCAGCCCAACCCCATAGGCTTGCGAACATTTCCGTTTCCCCTTCTCACAATTCAGAGCTGGAGACAAGTACTAGGTGGCCCTGTGACAGTGTCTCCTGCTACCTTGCTGATGCCGGAGTTAGGTTTGGCACGACGGCAAAGGAGTGAGAGGCTTTAGTGCTTCATTTCCGGAGGTGGAAGTGCTAAACAATGTGTGAGCTTGCATGTGAAGAAACTGTAGGTTTGGCTTGGGAGATGTACAGCAGTACATGGAGGACTCTGTCTTCCTTCGTTCTTTGGTGTCTGTCGCACTTACTCTCTCCTGCGGACAAGACCTGCTAATGCTGGGTGCTAATGGCATTTTCCATTTCGAACAGACCGCAGTCCGACAAAGAGAGTGTGAAGCTGCTCACAGTCAAGACCCTTTCTCACGAGTCTGGTGAGTTCCCAGACAGTTGCTTCGATGGAAAATGGTTGTTTTTAAACCTACCTGCAACCTTGGATTTGTTACATGAACTATAACCAAAAAGCACAACTTCTTTAGAAATAGTCAATTAGTAACTCTCAGGAAATAGAAATTTTTCTGTGGAGGAAAGAGGAACCCTAGAAATACCATTTTTAAGGCCACTAGGCTATCTAGCCTTTTGGGGTTGCTTTTCATTGAGTTATAAATGAGTCATAGGGAACAGGCGGGGCCGGACACACTTCCCGCTTTGCAGGGGTAACAGAAAGAATGTTAAATTTGTTGATAGACTTTCTAACATCACTGTTGTTTTGGTTCAATTTTGGTAATGGCTGTATACCAGCAATATTTACTACATCACATTATTAATCCATTAAACTGTAAATCATGTTCCATATAATTTCATACAATTTTAATTGAGCTCAATAAAGATAATCACAATTTCCCATTGCTAAAATCTGCATTTTTCCTAATTTTTCATTATAGTTATTTGCTTTGAAATATAAAAGCCTTTCAAAACACACATATGATTAGTATGAGTTATATTTGTATCACAAACAATAACAAGATACTAAAGACATTTTTAAAAGTCTTTTAAAAGCACGGATTTTTTTCTTGTTTTGAGTAGACCAGATATTTAAAACATTACTGTCACAAAATAAATAAATTTAAACTAATTATACATTTTACAAAACAATCCCAGTAGCTCTATGTCTAATATCCAGTTGCATTTATATATTTAGAACATTCAGTCCAGCCAAATTTTACTTATACAAACTCATCCCCCAAAGGACTCTATAAAAGTGAGAGCTACAGAATGACAAACTGTGTTATAAATATTTCTTATGGTTAAAAACAATTACATACAACAAAAAGCTGTATCATTTTGGATCGGGAGCAAGATTCCCAGGGCTGAGTGTGGCCTGATGTCCCAGGCTAGGTGGCCAAGTGCTGAGCCTGTCGGCCAGCCAGAGCCTCCCTTGTAGCCTGGAGCTGCTTCTCCTGGGAAAGCTCAGCACAGGCAGACATGCCGGCTGGTACTCATGTGCAACCCTTAGGAGCTGGGCTCCCTGGGCCCTCACCAGCCTGACCAAGTGGCCACTTCTCCTCCCGGGTATGGAGTGGGTCAGGGAGCAGCTGGCAGCCCACTGCAGCCAACCTCAGTTGGCTCTGGAGGAACCAGGCTCAGTCCTCATGAAGAAGCTGCCTGTCACCTGCAAGCCTGAGCTCTTGGCCCACTGAGGGTCCCTATGAGGACTCTCCTGAGAAGGGGCTGCAATAGGGACACCTCCTGTCTTCCACCCACCGCTCTAGGGAAGTGACACGAGACACTGGGATTACGGCTTCCTCCAAGCAAAGCCTTGCAAAATCTTGCATGTTTTCACTTGCAAGATGCACAGTGGACTCTTTACTAAGGACTGGTGACCTCTGACTGTGTGGAGTGGGCCAGGGTAGGATCTGAGCAGAGCCTCAGCCTTCCAAGCTTCCTACTCACAGGTTTAAAGAGGAACTTTGTAGACACAGTAAGGTAGATTCTCTGCTACTTTTGTTTCTGCCAAATTCAAATAACCTCTGAGAGGTGATTAAAGTGATTATCATAAAGACTACTCAGTGATATGGCGAAGCTGAAAACAAGCATTTGGAGCAGATTGTAATAATCTAGAATTGATAACCTCAAGCATAACAATAACCAAGTAGTCCCTGGACCAGTATAATGTTTGCAAAGTCTACTGTTAATAAGGTTCCATAGCCCCTTAACATTCTGGAACCAATCTCTTCCCACTGCCTTTCAAACTTTGTTCAAATGTGTTTTGCTTATAAAATTATGCTCACTTAACAGATGCCGCATTTTAAAAATCATTTTTCTTCAGAGACCTCAGGACCAATGATGACATTTTCCCTAAAATATAACTAGAACAAAATTTGAAAGGATTAGGTTTCACATAAGTTCATAGGTTTAGTACAATTTCTATCACCTACATAAATACCTTTCCATTTTTAAATAGAAAAAACATTTTGTCAGAAAAAATACCTGACCAATCAGAATCAATGAGTTTACAATTTATCTTGTCTACTTCAAAGTCTAAGAAAAACAGTGTCAGTGAATGCATGTAAGTCAGTAGCAGTGAGAAGTTTGAGCTTCCTGGCTGTCGCTATTCTCTGGCACAGTCATTAGTCAATGTAGAAACTCTGGACTTTTGTCTCCAAATGAATTGTGTCATTGTAGCAGCCAATAAACAATGTTTCCCAGGAAACAGATCTCTGCAGCAGCTGGGTCTGGGAACGACAGATGCTACGTTGTCTGGGTTTCTAGGAGCCCTCGGGAGACAAGTTTGGACTTAGTCACCTCTCCTAGGAGGTGGGCCCTTGACCCCCAATCCTCTCCCTCCACGGAGGTCACTCTGCTCCTCCAGCCACACTCTCTGCCTGCTTCAGATGTGTTCTCTCTGCCACAAATGAAGCCCAGTGATGTGGCGAGCTTCTTCAGTGTGGGAGAGACAGCCCACGAGCAATGGAATAAGAACATGCTTTCGAGGGCAGCGTGTGTGTGAATGTGGAGTTCACAGAAGCGTGGATGATGCCACCCAGCTTCAGTGAGGGGTCCTGCCAAGCTAACGTCGCCTTGCTGACTGCAGAACATGTGAGCAACACGACCCGTATTAAACATGGTCCTTGCTCTGCATATCAGAAATTGCATTACCTTATTTCACTTTTAATATGGAAGGCTATACAAGTTATGAAGAAAATTGCTTAAAATAGAAAATACATAATTACATGAAAGAAGAAAGAGAACACTCTACTATCCAACTAAACTTCAAAAATTGCTTGATTTTGAACCATTGGAAGGAAAGCATGCAGATCCGAATTTGTCATCCCAGCCTTCTGCTTAGAGCCCTGTGATGAATTCCTGTCACCTGCGATCGAGTCAGCCCTCAGCACATCTGTGCAGCCTTCCAGGCAGTGGCTGCTCCTCCGGCCCTGTTCAGAACCATTCCCTATGGCAGACTCCCAGCCTTCACAGTCCCTCCCTCCCTGTCTTCCCCAGTGACCCTGGCCCAGCGAGAGAGGGAGGGACAGTCCCTCCTCTGAGCCCTCACAGAGCCTGCTGCCATCAGTGGTTGAGGTGATGGTCCATTTTTTGGTGTCACTAGCACACTGGCTTGAGTATGAGGGTAAGTACTAGATACACAGTCATTTTTTAACTTTTCTGCATATTTATTTTTACAAAGGAAATCTTATTAAAAAGAAATGAACAAAACTGAGGAAGAGCAAGTTACTCACAGACTAGCAAGAGCCGTCCACAGAGCCACCTTCTGCCTCGTGACCTTTCTGGGGTGGCTCAGGCTGCCTTTGCCCAGCATCCCCCTTGTCACCTGAGCTGCCATTGGTCTCCTCTGCTCTTAATTTAGTCTTAATTTGGCAAGTTAATATGCATTACCAAGATACACTATTTCCTTATGGCTTTAACTACCATTTTAATAGTTGAACACATTAGGCCCATCGGGAAATGGAAAAACACAGAGAAAACAAAAGAATTTTAGAAATTCTTAGTCACCTCATGAAACACAGCCTGGATACCACCATGGATTTTTGGCAGATTTCCTTTAGCTTGTTTCTCCCCAGATTGTGTGTGTTTCATCTGCTCTTGCAATAGAAATCATCATCACCGCTGCTGAATGCATCTTGCTATAGCATCTTTGTCAGCTTTCCACTCGTGGTGATAGAGAACTTCAGGGAGGAATTAGAAACTGTCATAATTTCCCATGACTTGCTCTACACAATTTTGAGCAGGTATCCGGGGGAGAGGAAGCTCATTCTGTTTATTGCTCTACCTGGACTTCAGGCTGGGGGTCCCAGGCAGCACAATGCCTGCCACTAAACAACAGTGAACAGAGATTGCAGTGTGGCACGGCTGGGAGAAATGTCCAGGCGTGACCAGCGTTTCTCAGAGCTGGGGCCTAAGAAGAGCAAGATGAGGTGTCCCCACTTGTCCTCAGAGGTCTGTGGCTGTGCACATGACCAGCGACATTCATAGAGTTGAAGGAAGACAGACTTCCCAGCCATGAGCAGGCGAAAGCTGGAGCTCACTATGACGTGGATACCAAGAGCAAGATCTCTGCACTGATATAGGTCAGGACTGATGTTGTGGCCTGGCTCCGCCTAAAGGACACATATCCTGTGAAACATACTGATCATGCGCTCAGTGGCGCACAGTCAGGGATGGGGCTTTTCAGTTTCCATTACCTAGGTTAGCGGATTCATCTTTGTGTCAGGTGACCGAATGTCGCTGCAATTCACACGGTGCTGTGCTCCCAGAAGTGTTCATGTTGGTTTGTAAGCTCATTTTCCCATGGCTTTCACTGCCTTATTGAACAGAAGGGCCCTCGGATGTATCCCTGCCTTCAGCCACACTTTGCATTTACGACACAGGTTTGCTTAGGTGGAGCTAACTCGTGCACCAAGCTGAAGTCAAGGACCTGTCCCCAGGGGCGTCTGTGCTGCCATGGTGTCACCCAGCCCCTGCCCTTCACTTCCTGGGGCCAACTTTGCAGGGCTTCTGCAGGGTGAAATGGGTGCTGGCCAGAGAAATATCATGCACCTGGGTGACTAATTTCTAGACCGTGAGCCAGTCAAACAAAAAATGAATCAAGAACCACTCTCTGTGCACCTAGAACAAAGCCTCTCTCTGTCCTTAGGTGAGCACTGTGTGGCAGGGAAGACCAAGAACTGAGTCTGCAAAGAATCCACCTACACCAGGTGAAGAGCACGTAAGTGTCCCCGTTCCACTCCCCGAATCCTTCCTCACTCCTGTTTTCTTAGCCTGCTGCACCTTGGATTATGTTAACAACTTTTAAAACCTGAGAAGTTAATGGTTTGTGTCAGTGAAATCATCATTGTCTGTCTAAAATCAAATTCTATGAACAATTGCCAGAGAAATGAATGTCTGTGGTTGTAGAAAATTCTCCCAGTCACCCTGCCTATCTAAAGGATGACATGAATTGCTCTGCATTTCCTGTAAGCATAGCCGGCCTGGGTCAGTAAACACACACCAGTGGTGACAGGTAGACAAGGTCCTATAGCTAATGATGACTTGTAGGACCCAAATGACATAGCTGGAGAATTTTCAGTTTATTGTAAGAAAGGGGTACATACAAAACCCAGAAAGCAAGTCGACACATCATAGCCCCCAGCAGGTACAGAGCAGGGCCCAGAGGAGTTGAGTAGAAAGTCCTGCCTTCTTCCTTAGGGACTTTCTCTCTGGGTTCAGGAACCATGAACTTGTCACAAAAAACCATGAAGAAGGTGATTAATGGTGTAGTCTCAGTTGGGACTTATTCTACCCAACTGGTCGTATAGGCATCTTTCTGCTTTATAACTTCCAGGTATCAATGAGATGAAATGATCTTTTTTTTTATAATAGTTGTAAAGTCAGTCATCAATGGGAGTCTTTCAGAAGCTCGGATATGGGCAATATCTGCTATCCCATGCCTTGACTGACGTCTTACTTCAATGAAAGTGCTCGAGCCAGTTTCAATTCACACTGGAATTGTTCAGTGCAGAGTTGTCTTCGTCTTTCCTAGAACTGAGATGGGAGATTTTCTTCTGATGTTAGTTACTCTAAAATATATTAGTTAAGCTCTGCGACAATTAATGTGCAATGCTTTATAGAACCAACAGAAGACTCCATCCTTTGGAACAAATGGTAGAAACAAGAACCAGTCAGCACTTACATGCCGCAAACCGGTCTAGACCACAGTGGTGGTCTCTCCGGGGAAAGTGGCCCGGGTGAGGAATGCCACTGTGTGTCTACCACCATGCCTACCACGAGGCTGTTAATTCGGGGCTGTCACATACTCTCAGCAGCTGCTTGCTGGATACATTGTGCCCACCATGCTTCCTTCAGAGTAGCAGAAGGCAGATGTACACACGCTACCCAAAGCCATCCCTGTGGAACCAGAATTTAAGGTGGACCAGAGAGAGAGGCACCTAGGAGTCGGACACCTTTTTGTATTGAACACTTTCAGGAGTCAGGAGGGGAGCTGGGAAGATTATAACTCATGGGTGCAACCCTTCTCTGTTTCTCCACACCCCAGTGTGTGAAAAAGAGAAACCTTCTGAATACCAAAGCGCTAAAACAGTAGATGCCAGTTTATCCAACTTGGAGAAAGAGAAATTTTGTCTGTTCAGCCATGGAAGAAAAGAAAAGGCAAAGAAGAAAAAGTTATACAGGAGACAAGGCATAGAACTGACCCAAACAATTGTGTTCAATAAAGGAAATTATTGTCCAACTCCCATTCGTTTCCATTTTTGTTCTTTAAAAAATATCCCTAATGTATGATTTCATGTCTTTTGATTTTGAGAGGTATATATTGATTGCTCTCCTCTGTGTAATTTTGTAATTATATAACCACATTCTGAGGAGTAAAGATCAGAATGTAATGGGTGGAAACAAGTTTGACATCTGTTGATTCTAGTGGCTATTTGTCATACTTCTTAAAGTATGTGTTTCTCTTGCTGTACTGTGAATTGAAGAAGTCGTGAGTAGCTGCTTCCTAAGTTGTACACTAGGAATCAGTTACTGCAGAAGGGATACAGAATGAACAGGAATAAATTCACCAGACCTAAAAGGTTTAGGGACAGAACTGGAGATGTCTTTGAATCTTTGTATTCAGAAGCAGATATAGATGTAATCACCTAGGTTCAATCAAAACGTGACCCTAGATATAATTAATGTCTGCTGTTTCATTTATCGATCATCTGCTTTGTGCAGAGAATTCTATTTAGTGCAACTTGTCAGGGCAGGAATTCCAGAATATGTGGCCTTGCCTTCCACAAGCATTAACCACCAGGACCATAAAGTCCTGCTCAGAAATTAGAAAACAGAGAAAACATTTAAAAAGCTATATGGACATGCGTAATACTGACACATTAATTCAAACCCATTCTAGATTCTCTGCCACTTCTATATCAACGATAGGAAGGCAGACAGGGTTTTCAGAAAGCACTACCATTTCACTGCAGCTGTACTGCAGTACATAAGTCTGTCATTTTCATAAAATAAGATAAAGGTTATCTTAACTTCCACCTTCTCTGCATAATCCTCTTTGGTCATGGCTATGAGGGAAAAAAGGGGTTCCTTCCTCGAGAGAATCAGCACCACCCTCAAAATAACTGTTTATGGAGAACACCTTCTGATAAATTTTGAAGGCCACTAGCATCAAAGGCGCAAAATTATGCATTACTTGCCTCTCTATAACTGCCTCTCATCAGTGGGAGAAACGTGCTCTGTTCTTTCTGAAATCAATTCTCAGGGTGAGGAGAGGAGAGGATGGAATAACTGAGAATATCATTTGCTATCACTTAAAATGGCTAACGCTAGAATTTTTGTGCAAAAGTATAGAAGAGGCAAATATTATTGGTGTCAATAAATGATCTGAATAAACAGGTCTGACAAGAGCACATAGAACTGGAGAGGAACACACAGTAGAACCACTCTAGTGAAATGCGGGAAATGATAAGATAATGGTATCTAAAGACATATGTAGCCCCAAAAGTTTAACGGCAAACTTGCTACACATGGTAGTTAAGCTGAAACATATAAAATTATTTTTCTTAATATAGCATAGGCAAAGAAAGATTCCGTAGGCATAAAAACAGCATGTCCAGAAGATAAAGAGTCAGGACACCGAGTGGTATACACAGGACCGGGTGAAAAGCCTAAAAATTGTCAGAACAAGCTGATCACCCTGTGGCATGTAATGTGTGTAATTATGGATTTTAAAATATCAGTTTCTTGCTGGTTAGGTGTTCTTTAAACCCCACCTGGTGCTTGGCTGTGGGGAGCATAGGGAGCAGTGGTCTAGAAACACAGCTCTGCAGAGGCAGCAGGCGCAGGGGAGGAGCAGAGCGGTGGTCAGACAAAGCATTGACTCCCTTGTCATTGAACCATCCCTAAGTCACCAACAACCCGGAAGAGAGTCCCACACTTGAGGAAGGGCCTGGTCCACAGTTTCTCTCCAAACTCATGCTGCTGTCAGACACTGGAGCGTGTGTTGCCCATCCCTGCTCTGGAGGATTCAAAGACTTGTCATGGACAGCAGCCAGCGTCCAGCTGTCCCCCTTGCCAGGACACAGACCTGCCAGCCCTATCAAAGAAGCTTTCCCACCACAGACCAACACCTTGAGAAGGCAGGGACACACGTCCGTCCATCACTGTCCCCAGCACAGCGGGTCATCCTCTCCCCAGGCTCAGGTGAGCCCACGGCTCCCATCCACCTCCCAGCCCCTCAGCCCCGCTAGCTCAGCCTGGCTGCTTCCCACCTGGACACAGAAGCCACCTCAGCCTGCACTGTCTTTGGATCAACACAGCGTGGTGTCTACACTGCATATGGAACCCTGATCCTACCCAAGGCCTGGCTGGCCCTGCTGTGAAGAAGAGGCAAGAGGCCGGTTCATTCTCCTCCTTGGTGAAGACATAGCAGGAAGCAGGAAAGCCGTCCACAGAACTCTTAGTTCATCATCGCTCCTGGAGCAGGACTGGAGCTGCAGCTCCTTAGTGAGAAGGTGCAGCACACTGAGGGTGGGAGGAGCTTTTACTGAAGATACTGCTGTGCGTCTGAGGCCCAAGTCTAACTCTCGGGAAGAGTGGGCGCAGAGCACTCAGGGAAATGTTCCCCTGGGAAACAGCCGGGCCTGACCCAGGGCTGGAGAAGAAAGCAGAGAAGGGAGGGGGAGGGGATGGAAGGGGGAGAGAGAGAGACAGGAGCAGAGACAGATATGATCCATGAGCTGTGGTCAAGGAAGGGGCGAAAGTGACCCCTACCTCTAGCCGGAAGTTTGGGGGAGTCTCGGATCTTACACACAGCATGAGCCCCTGAGGTCAGTAAGGACAGGGGTGGGGGAGGAGGGCTGCGTTCCCAGAGCCACACTGAGTTTGAAGAGCCTGTGAGGTATTCTCGTGACTCCCCTGCATGTGGAGAAAACTTCCGCGGGCCCATGCTGTCTTCACCTCTGTTTCTTCCTCACCTCCTCGGACTCTGACATTTTGTTGTTCTTGTTCTAGGCTTCATCTTCGGCTTCTCCGCTCCAGCGGTGAAAAGAGAGGCTCAGGAAATCAGCGGTGACTTCCCCTCTTGTTCACCCGTCGGTAGAGGGAATTCAAGATGACAGGCAGTGACGGAATCAGAAAGAACTTCAGGCTTCTGCAGTCCCAGCGATGTAGCAAAGCGTATCACTCCACCCCCAGGGACTTCTGAGGAGGGCCGGGGAGCGGGGCCTTGTGAGCCTTGAACCCCAGCCAGGGTCAAGTTCAAAGCTTCCAGGGCCGACGGCTTCATCTATGGAAATGGCCCCACTTCCTTGGTGTTCTCATCGTACTCTGTGTATTTATTTTTCTGTACTATGTTAATGCGGGGAACCTGCCAGTGTATTATTAAGAGTTAGTAGAAATCATGCTGTGCCACTCTGTATATATAGGTATTTTATTCATGTTTCCGTGTGTTACTTTAATAAATAATTGCTGCATCCCCACATGGCCAGGAAATAGAAGTTGGTCCCCTGATTACAAGTATCTTCGGGTTGTTTCGTAGAGTCTGAGACCTCATGAGACTCAGAGAGAAGCTTCTGCAACCAGTGAGAAAGGGACAAAGGGTCCACGCATCACACGCTGTTAGGGGACAGAGATTTGCTGTATTTTTTTTGTCTCTCTATTTGTTGCTCTGTGTGACAAGGATATAAGGGTCCTTGCAAGCTCTGGGCTGCGTTCTAGAAGAAGGGGAGAGGATGGTGGCTTCTCATTAATCTGCTTGGTTGAAAATAACTCTGTACATGTTTTATTTCTTTTAGAAATGTAATGACTTGTCCTAGCAATCAATGTTAAAGCTCCAAATTGCACAAAATCAACATTTCCTAAATGTATAACTGGGATGTTAATTTTCAGTGTTACTGACCTAAAAACTATGTGAGTTTGCTGCCCCCCCACACCTTTTGAAATTTCTTCCGTCGCAATGTATTGGGAACTCCCAGGTTTGAGGATCGGGTAATCATCTTAATTTTTGCTTCCCAATATTTGGGTAATTTCCAACCAGACAAACCAGGCAAGCATCTACATTTCTGACAGTGTTTCTATTTTCTTGGAGAAGAATGGGGAAATAGGAAAAGGGAAACAAGGAAAGGAAAGGATGCAAAAGACTTGGATCTCCTCTGTGTGCTTTTGCCTCAGGGCTATTCTGCTCAGACTGCATTTGAACTTCCTCGCTCTTAAGTGGGTGTAACAGTAGCAACCATGCCACATGGGGCCTTCTGCCTTCCCAAGGAGAACAGCCTACAGGCCTGGTCTGTTCCAAGGGTCTCTCAGCTACCCAGAACAAATTGTGAACAAGCAGCCTTGACTAGGGCTTAAATTCCTGCAAGTGAGACCGCTTCTAGACATCATTTTCTCTAACTTTCATCAGCATACTTAGGAGTTTTCAAGAATGGGACATGGGGTAAAAAAAAGAATGGGAGGTGGGAAAGAAAGCATTTCAACTGTCACAAAAGAAAGAAATTTATTCCATTTCAAGAATTGCACACAATGAGTATGCTTTATACTAACTACAATGGTAAGTCTTAAAAAGGTCAAAGGAATAAGGGGTTGGGGAATTTAGGGAGCTGTTCGTGGAGTTTTATAGCATCGTGCTCAGAGATAATCCCAAATGTCTACATTTTTTGTTAACCAATTTAAATTTCCATGGAGGTAGGATATTTTGTTTTCAAGCCAAAACCATCATTAATCAGATTTTTTAGAATTAAATGGTCTAATTTTAATGTCTGGCTTATTATAAATTGTATTCTGATGTGCATTCAAATGTCACTGAGATGGAGGAAAGCCTGGATTCAGATCACAGGCAGGACTTCCTGTTGTCTGTGCTGCATGTCACTGTGAATGGAGTTCCCACCTACGCACCATCCACACATAAACAAAAGCTGATTAATGGGCACTGCTGCCATCTGAGGGTAAGAGGGCACTGCTGGCTGGCACACTGGCTGTGATCCCTCAGATGTCTCATTTCCTCCTGCTCAGCTGAAATATCTCATTGCACACACCTGACAAGTCTGCTTTACTTCTAACCTACCTGGCATATTCAACTTTGGGAGGAACAACAGAGCACATGGCCACACCTGTAACAATGGCCATGCTACCTCAGTCTTGTTTTTTTCGGGTGGGCTACTTGTCATAAAGATTTCATTGAGCTCAGGGCTGAGGGAAGGGCTTTGCGGCAGAGCACTTGCCTTGAATGCATGAAGCCTGACTTTGATCCCCAACACCATGAAGAAAAAAAAGTGAAAGAAAAAAACACCAAGGATTAGTGGTTCTCTACAGAGAAAACTAATATGATTTAAAAGTTGTCTTTTGTGTGGCCATGAAGTCAACTTTCTGTACTCACAGTTTCCTGGATCCATTGATTTGACCTCCCCAGATCACAAATAATTAAGAAAACCATTGCATTGGTATTGAACACTCTTTTTTCCTGTCTTTGTTCCTATATGCAGTGTAACAACTATTTGCATAGCTTTTATATTGTTAGCTCTGACAGTAACCTGGAGATGACTGAGTGCATGGAAGTTATATATAACACCACATCATTTGATCTAAAATGCCCAAGCATGCACAGGTTTTGGTATCTGTGGAGTTTCCTGGAACAGAATGGCCATGGATACCCCAAGATTATGAAACTGTTCTCTAGTATTTGTGTTCATCAGTTTTCCATAATGATAACAAATACTTGCAGTAAATCAACTTATGGAAAAGATGCATTTTCACCCACAGATTTGGAAGCTCTGGGCCAGGACAACATGGTACCATCACTTCTAGGGCCATAGCAAAGCTGCACATCATGGCACAGGGGTACTGTGAAGCAGCCGCTTTCCTCAGGAAAGGAAGGTGACACCTCCAACAGTGCCTAGCCTCTTAAACCTTCCTACCACCTCCCACAGCACCACATAAGAACCAAAGTCTCTGCCATGCGGGCCAGGGTGGGGGGCACCAATATCTGCACTACAGCAGTGCGAACATTAAAGACATTTATCACTGTGATTAATTCACTTCATCCCATACACTCTACAGTGAGAATCTGTGACAGATTGTCCATAGAACTTCCCTTTAAAACTTCCTGCAAACACCAACAAGCCTTTCATTGAATGAAATGAGTGTACTTTGTCATTACTTCCAGAAGATTTGTCCTGTAGGCTCGAACCTACCTGTTCTCTGTTCTGGGAGACTTTTTAAAAGGAAAATTGCTTTGATAAATAATGGACAAAGCATTCTTCTTACCCTCAATATTACATTCCTGAACTTGAAGTCAGAAATCCTTCCAAAGCCAAGGTCATCAATGATAATTTGGAAGTTGCTAAAGACTGTGTAACATTTAGAAATAAATAAAAGATATATTTTACATCATATTTTATTAAAAAAGGAATTCTACCAAAATAATGATGAGAAATGTCACTAGTTACAAAACACCATATCTAGTGTCCACTGTGTACCAAGCACTGGGGAGAAATTTCACTGACACCAGCTCATTTGATCATCAAGGTAATATAAAAGTAATTCCTCCTTGCATATCACCAGCAGCAGCCTCTCCATTCGAAATCAACATGGAAGGTTAAGTAACTTTGCTGACGATTGTACAGCTACTAAGCAGGAAATTTTCAATCCCCAAGTATACCCAAATCCTTATTCTTTTTCATTGTTCTATGTAGTTTCTCTAAGCCTCAGTTTCCTTAACTACACAGAGAGTATAAGAATGGTGCTTCTGATCACAGTTAAAAAGGAGAAGATTTCCAATCCCATGATTCCCCAGGGGAATCTGAGCCGCTGTTTCAGTGGACAGCAGGCAGGGCCAGGCCCAGGAGCAGAGAGCAGCAAGGAGCCTGGCGCTGGCCTCATCCACATAGGAATGCGGAAGGGAACTCAACCAGAAGCTGACAGCGACTCTGTGTTAGAAGAAACAGGCTGAAACCAGGACTTGGGCAGTAGAATCTGCCGACAAGAAGAACCTGCACAGAGCCTTTAGGTGTGAGTGACTCTCTGATGCTGATGGGGTAGAAGCTGGGACCATACAGCTGCAATTGGCTATTCTGAATATAGCTGATAACTAGTGGGGTGTTTTCATGATGTGGAGGCAGACGACGAGATAAACAATTTGTGAAAACATTTTAAAAATACGAGCTTGATTTTTAGAGTGGGCATGTGTGACTGTGAAGAACAGAGCTTCTTTGGTGTACTGGCAATGCATTTCAGGATTTCTCCTGCTTATGTGGCAGTACAGTGTAATAACATTGTGTGCATTTAAATTATAAATCTAAGCACCAGGCAGGACTTTCAGGGTGTGACTTGGAACCAAGTGAAAGCATTTTGTTGACCACTGTGTGACAATTCCCATTGCAATGCCATTCCGTCACATCACGTGGTTTATCTGGTAGGATGGATTGGCGGGGGCACCGAGGACATCGTCTCTGGCTTTGTGGGAAAGAACTCAGCACTGCTGTACATGGTGTGTGTGTGTGTGTGTGTGTGTGTGTGTGTGTGTGTGTGTGTGCGCGTGCGTGTGTGAGGTACAGGGCTAGTTTTAATCAGCATCACGGTTAACTGAGAAATCTGTAGGTTGGCATGATAGGGGAACAGAGACAACTGCCTCAGCTTCCCACTCGGTGGAGGTTTAGAGTGTGCAGTGTGGAAGTGAGGGCAAACTATTGGAGAGGGAAGTATGGGAAGATTTCAAAGGTTGAAGTTTGAAGACATATGTGTGGGAAAGAAACAAAGATCAAAACCAGTTTTAATTCCAAGTGCAAATCATCATCTTCATATCATCATTCCCCCTCATCAATAACGTTTTAATATCTCACGTCAGTCCAAGGTGCTGTTTGATGCAGAGGGACTGAAATAGAGCGTGAGTGACCCCTCCCTCTAGAAGCTTATAATCTAGTAAAGAAAGCAAGATGTGTAGCAGAAGGAGGACAGTGCTGTTTCTCTTGCTGCTCCTGTGAGCCTGTAGACTGAAGTGGTTACACGTGTAACTAAAGGTTACGCGGTGCTGCTTATGCTCCAAGCTGTGTGCACACCGCACACAAGAGCAGAACAGGCCTTTCTACCTTCTACCCTCTCAATTCTAAATCAGTAATATTAAAAGTTGAAGAGATTAAGTCACGTATGCATTAAATAGTGCAGAGTGAGAGGAGGGGAAATTTTCAGTTAGTGTTAGTGAACTAAATTCTATGCACTCATAGCAGGGACTTGTCCATTATACAAAACTTTACAGAAGAAAATATATTAATATTTAGAATTGTAATGATGAGTTCTAGAACAACTGAAAATAGAAATACTTAAGGTTTGATTTCTGATCGGTATTCAGGGGCAAGAGGGTAAAAAAAATGAATCCCTGTTTAATTTAGATTGGCAAAAATCTCAATTATACAAAGACTACATATCTATTTCCCCTTCGAAAAAAATATATGTGCAAATGTCTTATTGTCTGTAAATTCATTGAAAGGTAATAGAATTTCAATACCTTTACCTTTTACACATGAGGCCATATAAGAAAATGCATGATGCATCTGACAATAATAAGTACTGAACTTACAAGTTTTAATTATGGAACCATGGTTCTTTCACAATAGCTGTGTGGATAAGTTGCATTGCTGTTATTAAATTTCTCCTTCTTATAGATATGCTGACACATTGTTGACTACCTGAAACACAATTTATTAGTGGAAAACACATAGACAGTTTGTAAGTGGCAAAGCAAAATCTTTAACAGGAGTCTCTGATTTCAAGTTCAAAATCATTTTCAACAGAGACACTGAGATTTTGATTTTTTCCTAGACTTCCATGAGATCACTTTCCTCCCCTGGCATGTGGTCATGACTGCTGGCTTATCAAAAATACTCATCAGTCACCAAAGACTGAAAAGTAAATTCTCTTATCAATGTCTTAGAAAGACAAAAGTAACAGGTCCACGTGTTTTCATCTCTGATGAAATATCAAAAGCCCTGGTATCCCTTCCTAGCGTGCAAACCCAAGGATGGGGCCTCCTTCTGGGTCCAGCCTTCTGAAGGATCCCCTCCTTCAACCAGCCCCACAGGTTGCGACCAGACCTTCTACTCATGGCCTTGGGAGACGTTCCCAATCCACAGGGTGGCATCACTCACTGAGTTGCTTTGTCGTCCGGTTGTGCTGGGCCAATAGAGTTACCAAGTCTCCAAGGCCCACTGGAATCCAAGCCAATGTTATCACTACACTTCCCAGCCCTTTGATGATTTGTCTGTAGGCTAAAGCAATGCCACTTGATAGAAACAAAGGCAATCCACAGGTGTCATTTTATATTTTATCTTAGCCACGTCAAAAATTAGAAAGAAACATGAGTTTGTTTAAACCAAATACATCATTTATATTAATTCAACATGGGATGTTGTTAAAATGGTAGACCTAAACTTTGTTACTGCCCAGACCAAGACAATTACCAAGAAGGGAGACAAAAGGAAAATACATAAAACTCTATAATCTAAGACACAAAAACTGAGCAAAGGAGATGCATCTTATACAATTCACAGATAGCCCATTTGGGTGACTGCTGGAATCAGTTTATGAAGCAGATAGCTGAGTTTAAAATGCTACAGCAGAAATAGAAATGCAGTGCCTCTTTGCTATCTACATCAGTCCATCCAGGGGATCTATTGGATGGGAGGGCTGGATCGCAGAAGATGCAGGGATGGTTCAACAT